TTGCAAGGGGATGAGGCACCAGGCAGCCGGGCACAGGTGGTGCATGGTGCATGGAACGAGTTGGGCACGGCCTCAGCTGGGGCTGAGGGGCAGCGAGACAGGGCAGCCAGGTGCAGGGCTCGCATGGTTGCAGCCGAGGACGAAGGCAGGTGGGAGCATTTGGGGCTGATCTGAGGTCCAGAGTCCTCCCCAAGTGGGCGGGGGAGCCCCTGCAGAGCCCTGCCAGTGCTGTTTCCCACGGGGACAGCAGCACCACGCCAATCCTGCACTGTCAGCCTGCTGCTCTGCCTGGGAGCATGGGTGGCAGCCCTGCCATCGCTGCCTGGGAGTGCTCTCAGCAGTGGGGAAACTGAGGCACAGAGCAGCCCAGGGGTGCCTTTTTTGCCTGAGCGAACTGGTCAGGAGCGTTGTGCAAGCAGGTCTGGGGGAGCTGTTCTGCCCCATTGCTTAAGGAAGAAAATGGAGTTAAAAATGTTCATGGAGGACACAGCAAAACAGATTGAGGATGGGGAACCGGCACGCCTTAACATGAGCATGGGAAGCGGGAACCATCTGGACGCTGCAGAGCGTCCTGCAGGCTGCTCTGGTCGAGGGCCGGGAAGCGGCTGGGAACCCTCACTGATGAAGTTCAGAGCTGCCGAGGCTGGGGGAAGGCTAGCAGAGCAGGGGGGAAACACGTGAATCACAACAGCCTGAACCCCAGGAGGCTGCACCGGCATCCGAGAGCCCTCAGTTATTACTCCCTCCTTGAAGCTCTTCCCAAGCCGGTGGCTGGGAAGGGACAGGCACAGAGCCTGGCCGGCTGAGTGGCAGAGAGCGAAGGAGCAGTGATTTGTCCCTCGCACCGCTGCTGCCCACCCTCAGGAGGTCGATGGGGTGGAGAGATGGTTCAGACAAGACCCTCCAGGCTGATTAACGCAGTGGGGAGACTTCAAGGAGAAAGTCCCGCTTCTCTCTGCACTTCGCCGCTCAGTGCAAAGGCCAAGGCAGGGACTGAGCTGCCACAGGAGTTGGGGACAGATGCGGCACTGCTCAAGGAGGGACGATGGGGAGATGTTCACGGGCTCTGGCTGCTGGGGTACTGGAGCTGAGGGAGACCCAATAGGGCTCCGGCAGGGCGGGATGCCCTCGAGCAGCGCTCCCCACCCAGGGGCAAGGAAGGTACTGGAGATGCCGATGTGCACCCGGACACCCTGCTCCATCTGGCACATCCAGCTGGCTTGGCACCTCCCAGGATGGCTAAGAGACCACAGGGCTTGAGTGCAGAGCCCTCGGTGTAGCGGGGACCCTGGGGTGAAGGTTGGAGCCGAAGTCGGCACTGGGGCAGGTGTGGGGTCCCCCACCACCTCTCAGTGCTTTCTCCTCTCTTTCCTGCACAGATTCGACAGACTTCCAGGAAAGCTTTGTGACCTCGGGGGTGTTCAGTGTCACCGAGCTCATCCAGGTGTCCCGAAGTGAGTACCGCGGTGGTGCGACCCCCACCCCCACCCCGTGCGGTACCTGGCTCCGGCATCCCGTGCAAGGCAGTGCTCAGACAGCCCTGACCAGCCTGCCCCCCGCCCAGCCCCCAGGCAGAGCCGGCTCTGGGGGTTTGAGCTTGGGGCTGGGGAAACACATCTGGACACAGCTCGCGCTAACACCCATGTCTCCTGCCCCCGCAGTGGGGAGTGGGGGGCCAGCACAGCCGGGCATGCAGGTTTGGCATGATGGGGCAGTGCTGCGCCCCTCCTGACGCCTCTCTCTCTTTCCAGCACCGGTGGTGACAGGCACAGGGCCAAATTTCTCCTTGGGGGAGCTACAGGGTCACCTGGCCTACGACCTGAACCCCTCAAGCACAGGCATGAGAAGGACGCTACCGAGTACCTCCTCCAGCGGGTAGGTGCCGGGGCCAGCAGGCTGCAGGGGTGATGCCAGGGCAATGCTGGGGCAGGGGCCAGCCTGGGCATGGCTGAGGGCCGCTCACTGCCTCATCATGTGGGAAGAGAAAGGCGGGTCGGGTCCTGCTCCGGGCAGGCGCTGGGCTTGCCGTGCAAGGCCCTGCTTGGCATCCTTCCTGCCGCTGGGATCCCTGGCATGGGGCACCCCAGCACGCCGAGGCCATGCATGGAGATGCAGCCCCCAGGTCACCTGTGGCGGGGTGGGTTAAGATGCAGAGAGACCCCGCGTGCGC